TTGCCGATGGTAGAGTTTGCCATCAACAACTCGGTGCATGCGTCCACGACACATACACCGTTTTACGTGAATGGCTTGCGCCATCCGCGTGTACCCACCTTACTAGAGTGTAACTCTGGTTTAAGGGGGGAGGGACTCGCGCGAGCAAAAACCGATTTGGTTCACGCTCATCACGCTCTGACGAAGAAGTCATTGCGTTTGATGCCGATATCGATAACATCGATATCGAAGAAGATGATGCCAGTGAGAGTGCGGAAGCCCTCACTGAAGACAATGATGCCAGTGAGAGTGCGGAAGCCCTCACTGAAGAAAAGGTTGTTGTTGCTGCAGTGCGCTCACAGCACACTGAAGCTAACGAGTCATCAGATGAGTTCATACTGGCTCGTGAAACGGTAGTCCGTTTTGTGCAAGACTCCATCGCCGAAGCGGTGGATAAGCAAAAGCAAAACGCTGACAAGAATGGAAGGGCAAACACTCTTTTATTTAATAAAGGTGACTTAGTCCTACTGTCTACGGTTAATCTACCAAAACATGTAGTGACTAACTTGGGTAGCAGTAAACTACTACCCAAGTACATTGGCCCATTTCGTGTATTGCACCGCCTAGGCAATGCATACACGATCGAGTTACCACGTAAGATGCGAACGCATCCCACGTTTTACGTTGGTCGGCTTAAGCCGTACCATCAGTACGCTGCTTCTTCCGATGAAGAACGCCCTTGCGCTCAAGCATCTCGCAGAGAGCCTTGTGCTCCCGATGGTGGGCATCAACAAGGGTCTGAAGAGCAGTTATCTCAGCCCGAGACCGATCAACAATCCCACGAGCTACCCTTAGCTCGTCACGAAGAGATGTCAGAGATCTCTCGTTCTCAAGCTGAGCAAAGGCAAACTCAGCTCGATGCTTCGAGGCAGTGTCCACCATCTGGAGACGCCTATTCCGCTCATGCTCGAGATCGTCGCGTAACCCTTGCGTTACGCGATCAAAGAAGCTCTCGGGAACACACCGATCCACATGATCGTGTGGAGAGCGTCTTTCCTCCTCCTCCACCTCCATTAGAGGACTCTCGCGGTGGCCAGCGCTATCTAGTAGAGCAGCTGTTGAACCACCGCGACGTGAACGGACGTCGGACGAGTTACCTCGTCCGGTGGCGCGGCTATCCCCCGTCCTGGGATTCTTGGGAGCCCCGCTCCCAATTGATGGTTGACGTACTGGGTCTGGTCGAGCAGTACGACGCGACACATCCTGTGCCGCAGAAGGACCGCCGGAGAAAGTCTTCCCGGCACGGTCGTAAAGGGATTTCAGGTTGTCAATCCCTTCGTACATCTCAGTAGAGACACGTACGCGCCACCACGGGCTGGTAAGGAGGTAAGCCTCCTTAGGTGCTCGTGCAGAGTTGTTCACACAACATGGGCACGAGTCTCCCCAAGAGAGGCAGGGTAATCCTTTCTCCCTTGACAGACGATGCAGCTTATAGCGTGCACCTGTCGGGGTTCGCTTTTCAAACTTATCACGAGCTTTGATAAGTTTGTCGTTCCAAGCGTCACGACCTACATCCTCGAGATTATGGATGTAGGCGTTCCACGCCTGAAGTAGTGAGGGACCATCACGTTTGTGATTCCCACTGTACCATCGATGTCTGAAGAAAGCATCGATGAAGAACTCATGTTCAGCGCGATAGTCTTTCGCGCTGGGGTCAAGGTGATGAATCCTCGACGAATCGAACAATCGTGTTCGATAACGATCACTCGTCGTCGCCGACAAGTGATCCATGACGGATTTAGGAGGCATCCATGCCTTCTTTTCTGGAGCGAGACGCAACACATTGCGGTCCCGCTCTTCCTGCGACGTGCCGACAGAAGTACTGGCACCTCGCTGTGAAGTGGTGTCCATAGGAGAACCGACACCACTATTAGCGCCCGAGTCTCGCGACCTCGAGCGCCTTCGCTTCGGCGATGGTTCATCTGACTCATCAGATGAACCAAAGATGCTGCGACGCAAAGCATCGTCCATGCCACGCTTGGCAGGCGGCTTGGATTCAATTGCCGTCGATACGGATCCGTCATCCGTATCAGGAGAGTACGAGACACCGAGCTCGTACTCTGTGAAGACACGAGTGTCTTCATGACCAGCGCCTGCATCACCAGGTGATACAGGCTGAGTCGATTCAGCAACCGATGGGACATCAGTTGCTGTAGTTTCTGCTTCGGCGTCCGCACAGAGACGTGCAGACGCGCTCTCGGCGGCCTTGCTCGCGCATCGCATGGGCTTGTTTACCATGCGATGAGATGTTGGAAAGTGGACGCGGACCAACAAGTGCAAACCCCGTCCCAAATGATTTGGGACGAGTATCCATTTAGTCAATCAGTCACTAAAGTGACTGATGGTTAAGGGGGGTGATGTAACGGGGTGAATCGTTACATAACAATTTATAAGAAATTGTTAATAGAATATAACTATAAGAGTTATATTCTCAGAATATTGTCATAAGGACAATATTCTGTAGCACTTCCAAGTAGTTCCTAATTGGTTGATATAGGCCATTATATCAACCAACGAAGACGCGCCACGACAGACGCACGCAATGAGTGGTGAGCAGATAACTGATTTACACATTTGTATTTAGACATAGTTAGATGAAGATAAATAGTGATTTATTGCAGACATTAACTATTATAAATACAGTTCTACTTTTTACTCTAACCGAGTACTCGCTTCTTCTTACCGTCTTCCTCTGCACGTACGAGTGTACGTGAAGTTACGAGGCACCGCCTTATTCTGTTATCAGAATAAGTAGCTTGTACTGTCACCAGTACAAGCTTCAGGGTGCCCCGTTACAATAACGCCTTACACCGACCGGGTTATTAAATGGTGGGGTGGCGCATCCGCCTTCACATCCAGGTAAACTAAACTGAATCTTGAATTGGCTGCGACAGCAAGCATACCACCATCAATGAAACCGGTGTGTTTCGACCTGACGACTACATAGTCCTTCGCCGTGCGACCACAAAATGCTGCATTACTCTGCGACAGCACTATCGCGTAGTAAATCTGTATAAAGATGACATTGGAGTTAAGAAGTTTGATCCTATTAGTCAACAAAACAGCCTGTATCGAAACATCTTCTTTACTCTTTCTTTGCAGTGTAACTCAGCAGTCCACTGCTACCGCGGTCACAGTATAAAGGGAGGCCTACAAAGACGGAAAGCCTTCAAAAATGGATGCACCACACTACCCACTAGAATATGTGACAGAAATCTTGATGCCTTTTACGGTATCGTCCTTCGTTTACGACTACAAAATCTCAAGTGATGATAGCTGATGATGTATCTGGATAGATGGAAGCTATAGGTGGACAACTGCTGACTTGACCGTGTACCTAGTGTTTCTCTCATGGAAGAAGCTTCGGTAGCAGTACTAAGAGGTTTGTAAATTCAGACACATCCTGTGCTATCCTGCGCGGCCTCCACCACGACAGTATGGATATAGCACTTGATCTTACAAGCGGTCATTCCACTTTGATTTTGATCTGACTGGGACAGAATGACAAGGGCTTCCATTCCTATCAAATCAAGTCGACAGGTTTGACGTGTGTCGTGGTAGGGTATCGTCAGGGGGGAGGGGGAAGACCCGCTCTATGAACACCATTCGACCTTTTCGCTCGTGATTCCTTACCGCAGGTGGTCTTGAGATTACATTCGCATAATTTGCACCAGTGCAACAACCAGACTGATGTCCTCCGTTGGTCTCGTACATTCATTACCAGTTAAGAATGTACAAGTCATGCGTGGTCACCAGATAATCGACGTGTATTTAGATATATTGAACACTGATAGAAACAAATTCTTCATGAAAAGCTCGAGCTATATTTATCACAAGTCTTGGCCCCAAGAGATCCACAATTATGCAAATGCTTTTAATCAAATGAGCTACTCTCGAACTTGCGCACGAGGTGCGGCAAACTCACACACGTGACTTGATAAAAGGTGTTCCTTATCCTTGAAGAATAGATCCTACGCTTTTATGCATGTGCAATTTCTGTCGATGAAACGTGTCTTTTAAGATATCGCGGACGTGCATCCATCCCACAATAATGGCGATTGGTTTGTGTAGAAGGGATAACGCATCTGGTGTTGCCGCATAGGTGGAGGCTGCTGTGTTATTGGTACTACAAGCTCGTATAGGTGATCGTTTTGCCGCTACATCATGATCCTGTGAAATGTTGTATGTTCAGAGTGTATCCTGGTGTAAAACGTACGACGACGCATGACATTTGTCGACTTATCAAGCCTGGCATCGACGCTCACCCGCATCGTCTTGAAAATGTGTCCAGTTGCATCGGCAATCGATCGGATTTGAATGACACCCACATGCTCCCATTTTCATTAAAACTTTGTCTTGTCCCATACATTCGGATTGGTTTCGTTTGATGCAATCGTACATGCTAGATCACGCTGCTCTAGAACAAAGTCGGTAATGATCGCAATCATGAACAAAAGTATAACCACCAATCGCAGCCCGAAGACGTCATCGCCAAAGTCTGGCTCACTTAATGCCTGGAAAGCGCGCACCATTGTAGGTCAATTTAACAGAGCAAGCTCTTGTAAACAGTTGAAGTTGAGAAGGCCAGACCACAATGACAGCGTAGAAAAGGATATGGAAGTTCAAGGCTAATACTGTGTTTCGTGCAAAGACAGCAGATGACAACGAAAATATGTGTGCTGTTTCGCTATGCCACAATCTATGACATGACTTTGCATACAATCAAAACAGCAGCATGGGTGTGTGATGTTTGCAATAAAAACTCGCATTACAATGCTTTGTCCACTACATAAACTTGTGTAGGAGGCATTCGATGTCCTTCCTCACACAATGTTTCTAATCAGTCCATTTATCACATGCACACTGCTTGTATCCTACACAATATCGACATTGTACAAGGACTGATAGTACCACCACGGTCTACAACTGTTTACAACCAATACGGATCGAAAAAATGCATCCTACGAAGCTTCTCCACGCAACACCGCTTGTTGTTCCTCAAAAGCGCCATACGTCTGCTGAAACAGCGGGTGGAAAAAGTCCTTCCACTCGGCGTACGGAATGCGCTTGTTCTTGGTGTTGGGATCTCGCATCTTACCAATGTCCTCACCACCACGAAATTCGTGCCAGTCGCAGCCCACGTGTTGGCAAATATTACGATATCCGTAACGAATTCTTTTCTTTGGAAAAATCTCCACGACTGTAGTCATCGGCCGTGTCCAAAGTACGTTGACGAGACCAGCGCCGTGCATACTGACAATCATGTCGCTCTCGATGGTAGTCGTCATCTGCTCATGTAGCGTGAGTTCTACATAATCGACGGAGCGAAACTGCACGCTGAGATTGTTGTAATCCTTCCGCATGTTCCTCATCACCTCGTCCTCATTCAACCATATGCGTTGCAGCTTACGTCCCGCGTACGGCCGACGAGTGATCACCGTCACATACATCGGCCGGATCCTCGTCACACCAAGCTCGCGTTCAACTTCCGGTGTTATATTAAAGGTGAGAAGAGACTCGGCACGAAACGTCCTCACAAGCTCGGAATCATGGCAAGGCTCGTCAACACCCAAATGTTCCATTATAGGCCCTAATCTCTCAATAGGAGGGAGTAACACATCGCCGCGAAAATGCACGCGTTTACCGACCAACGTCGCACCATCGATGATCTCAAAGTTAGGTCCCAGCATGTTTTTTTGCAGATCATCATATGGCATCACAAAGCCCCCGTCTAGATGAATCACACGCGTCCTAGTGATATTCCACTCCAGCGCCTTGAGCATGATCCACGCGTTGACCGTGTTCGACAGCTGAAAAAACGGATTGTGGTCGTCTTTACGCGTCAGCAACACGACCGGGTCTTCAAAAATCACCGTCTCATGTTCATCCGGAGCTGCAGTCGGATTTTTCACAAAGTCCCACGCCGATTGTTTGGTTCCTTGAGGTCTCTTGTCCGAGCAAATCAGTGGCTCTGGAGTTTTCTTTCGTGGCAGTGACGCCACTCGGTCCATCCACAACTGTTCTGCTGCGCGTTCTTTGTTTCCCGATAGCTTCCGGTAGTAAGTTGCGAGTTCGTCACAAACACAATTGATCAGCTCCGTACTAAAAACAAACCTCGGGTCGTGGAGATACCCATCGTCTGCTATCGTCTTAATCGGAGCAAATATCGAGGCATTCACGAAATCCAGCATGAGGTTCTGAAACGTTGCGCCTTTAACGCCTGCTTTGATATGAAAAGTCGTCACTTTGGTCGCTCGAGTCGGACTCACTGGCGCCTGTTTGGAACGGTCCCACCCTCCATTGGCACAAAAGGTCTTGGCGGAATCTCGCACGACAGTAATGATCCCCATGTCCCGTTCAGCATAACACGCTTCTTTCGTCTTGTCACTTTTGTAGACATATGGAGGTCTCCTACGTTGCTCGATCAGTCGGTCAAGTTGCTCTTGGGTCTCCACGCTCAGGTTTGTCACTGACGTCCGCGCAACATTCGGGACTGCAGCTGTGACACTGCGCCGTGATTGGCTCAAATAGGAGCTGCTCGTCACGACGGACAAGTCCGCGATTCGTGCCACGACCGACAAGGCGCCCAGCAGCAGCACCACGAGAGCGATTGTCTTGACACCATGTCGACCAGCGCTGGAAAAGACGCCGCGAGTGTGGCGAACGAGGGCGGAGAGCCAAAGAGTTTCGCCTTTCGTCATGGTCGGCGAATTGCAAAGTGCGTCCGTGGGCGACGCGTCCGCTGGCGACTGAGCAGACGTGGCGGGCTCCGATTGGCTCAAAACGGTGCACGAAAAGGGGCAGAAGACTTGTGTCTCTTTTTCGCGACGACGTGACGTGACGTCTCGTCTTTTCGATTTTGCATACAGAAAACAAGTGTATTGTCGGCTACACCCGCACGAGAGAGCTCTGACTGTATTGTGTTCAGCGCGTTCCAAACATCACAAGTCGCAAACGTGCAAAACGGCTTATTTGGTGGGGTGGACACAATTTAACCCCCAACTGGATAAGCTGGGCTATAGTAGCGACAAATGTCGTTCGTCTCGGTTCATACGTGTGGCAAAATGCTCTTTTCCCCGTACCTTCCTGCGTTTGCTCAAAATCAAGCAATCAGAAGGACAACTTTGTCTACATTGGCAAGATCTTTCTGCGAAGCAAGAGAAGAAACAACGTGTACGACTCCGATCATTTTCAGTGAGAACGCGTCTTGTCAAACAGACGCTGCGGGTGAGTAAGTCATCCATGCAACTCTTCATATTCTTGAAGTGTCGCCTTCTTTGGATATGAAGCTTGTAGGCATTACCATTATCGTCGAATAGAACTGCGGACGTAGAAACACGTCGTCTAGTTCTCTATATGAAGACTTTGAAGCGCACACAAGTAACGAGTGCTGTTGAGAATGCCACGATGCGGTTGTACCGCAACGCAGAACCAAAGTAAGAGCGTGACGTGAAGTAACATTGATCAGAGGCATTTCAACGTTTTCAGCATAGATGCTGGTGGACTTTTCGTGCATCGAGCTGTCCGTTATGCCAGCAAGAAATCAAAAATCCGTAGCTGTCGTGCTTCGCAATGATCGTCGACGTAAAGTCCTGCAAAGATGACGGTTCGGATGTGTCGATTACTCGACGTGAGATAATTGGCTGAACCCGCGACCGGCATTGGCTGAATAAATGCGCAGAACGAGCTTTATTTTGAGGTGCAGTCGCCAAAAGACTACAGAGCTTACCATATTTGGCCCAAAGTGCCAAACCTCGACACTAACACACTGGAACTGAGGGAGTAATAGGAGACGTGAAATTACCAGCAAATACGACAAGTGTTAGTAACAACCGTATTATTTCAGAAGTGACGTGCTTCATCATTGTTCATTTACATGCAGTAAATGAGCCAGCAACAGAGTAGTGTCGGCTAGACACGACTTTGACGTGAGATGTCCATATCCCCGGTAGACGTCGCAGAGTGCGTTGTTGTTGTCGCCACTTCTACCACAATATCCTTCACTTGCGGAACCTTTTGCACTATAGCATGCTTGACCTTTCGCTTCCACTCGACAGCTTGTGCCACTGTAGATCCATCGTCAACCAGTAAAGTCAAATCCACGTATACATGACGACCGACCTTGCGACTTCGCAGTTTGCGAACACCAACGATTTCGTTGCCACTTGCTTTGATCACATCGTCAACAGCTTCCTCGAGCCTTTGGGTGATTGGATCAGGCAACTTGGCGTCGCACAGCTCCTTCATCCGATTCCAACCCATTTCCGCTCCCATCTTCAAGATGATCGTACCCACGGCAATACCAGCGAGCGGATCAAACAACGGGAAGCCAGCAAGACTCAGTCCAATACCGCTCAACGCCACCACACTCGTCACCGCATCGCTACGATGGTGCCACGCATTCGCAATGAGCACTGACGAGTGCACGCGGTGCCCGATACTAAAGGTGGTGCGAAACAGAGCTTCCTTGGCCACCACCGACAACGCAGCGATCCCCAATGCAGCTGGATGCAGATCTAGTCCATGCGCGTGTGTGTGACCTGACTTGGCCAGACTCTTGACACCGTCCATCGTTTCCACTTTCATATGTTCAATCAATTCTACCACTTGCGTCGTGTTTGTCACAGTCACTGACGCCGAGACAGGCTCCAGCAGCATCAGCAGCGAGTCCAGCGAGTGCGCCATGATACCCAAGGACCCTCCCACTAGCAGCAACGATACGGACAAGGCACCAATCGTCTCGTACTTGCCGTATCCGTAAGGCTGCAGAACGTCAGGCGGACGAGCACAATATTTGAGCGACACGAGGGTCACAAAGTCGCTCACCAAGTCCCCGATCGAGTGGGTGGCATCTGCCAATAGTCCAGACGAGTGGAACGCTACCCCAGCTGCCCCTTTCAGTCCACTAAGCGCCACATTGAGCCAAACACCGACCCACGTGATGCGGTCTGCAGCCTTCATGTCTTCCGCCGACACTTGCTGTCTCAACGCTCGCTGTTCCTCGGATTCTTCTTGGTCCAGCAAACACCCGTGACTGTGACCATGCCACCGAACTGTTGCACTGCCTTGCTGCAGCTTTGGCAACAGAAAAGACGTAGGGGTGGCAGGACGACGCAATGAATGTAATTCACGAGATACCGACGGCAAAAACCATCTGCAGTTGTCGCTAATATCTTTGCGCAGTGGATCAGTCGCGTATAGCCGTATAAACGCACGTCGCTGGCTTGACCTGGAGCTGCATGAGAACATCAAAAAGAAAAGCGGTTAACTACTTGCTGGTGTGCGGCATAAATGACCAGGGGAATGACTGGACGTCGTGGCGTACTGAAGTCGCAGAACTGCGTGCATTATAATCGAAAGATAATTTTGAGAAATATCGGAGACTGTGCACGTTCGACACGTACCCACTCTGGTATAAAGTCCTATTCGATTTTCATCGGATGGTGGACATAGCACCGTTAGCCAAGCAAAACCAAAAGTGACAGGGCGCGTCAGAATACATCCGATTGAGATAGATGCATTGGAAGCCCTTGCAAATGCTGCCTCATGCACCACCATACCTTCTACTACAAAGCTTTTCCTCAAGGTCTCTTGCGTACGGGTTCATGAGCTCGCTCGCTTACCGGTGGGCGAGCTTGGTGGACAACGTCGACATGGCCTTGACCTTACCATCGGGCACCATGAACATGACGACGGGCTTGTCGTCCGACATGTACGGCACGTCCACGCGAAAGTAGCCACGACGCTCCAGCTGCACGACCTGACCTTCCTTGATATTGCGGAGCTCGTGGTCGCCCAAAGCATGCATCTCAGCACGCGTCGTCGTCGTGAGATAGTCCTGAAAGTCGTCTCCCTCCTCGAGCTTAGCCTTGTTGAGCAAGTGGTCGAACTCTACCAGCACGAGTGGCACGAGATCCGGCACGTCAGCCAGCCAAGTAACCTTAAGCTTGGTCTTCGTGAAGTCGCCTTCCGGGTAGTTCTCAGCCTCCACACTTGAAATCGTGCCGTCCGCGGCCTTGTTTACCTTCTTGATGATGATGTTGCCGTGGCGCATGAGAGTCACTTCCTCACCCTCCACAAAATTGTCCACATCGTCACGCTCGAGCAACAGTTTGCTGCAAAATCGTACCATCTTGATGCCCATGGACGGGTCCTTCGGGTGGCGGCCAACAGGAATACCGATCACCTTGTCCTCGACATTTGTCAGCAGAAGCGGCACCGACGACTCCTTGGCAACTGCGAAGTAGCGCGGGGCAGTAGGGTCCAACACACGCTTGTTCAGTGTCCAGAACTTGTCCCACTCCATGTCCGTGATGCGGCGTGAAGCACCCTGGCTCAGAATAAAATCGCGCAGCGCTTCTACCTGAACGCCACGACGCAGCACACCTTGCACGGTGGGAAAACGTGGATCCGTCCAACCTTCAACGTGGCCGTTGTCCACGAACCATTGGAGTTTCCGCTTCGACAGTACCGAGTACACAAAGTTCATACGAGCGAAGCTCTGGATGATCACCTTGCGCAGGCAAAGTGTATCCAGCACCCACTGGTACTGGAAGTCTCGGTCGTTGTATTCCGTCGTACGCAGCGCATGGGTCACACCCTCTAGAGAATCAACAATGGGGCATGCCAGGTCGTACGTGGGATACGCCAGATACTTCGTCCCCGTGCGGTGGTGCGGCGTCGGGTTCGAACGGAAGAACACGGGGTCACGCATCGTCTTGTTCTTGGCCTGCATGTCAATCTTGCCACGCAAGCAGTAGCCCTGAGCCTCTGGCTCGTTCTTAAGCATCTTCTCGAACAGTGCCAGATTCAATTCAGGCGTCTGGTCGCGACACTTGGAGTTAATGCCCTCCATGCGCTCTTCACGCATCTGCTCTTGTGGTGTGTTGTCCATGTACGCGTTGCCCTCACGGATCATCTGGCGAGCGAAGTCTGCAATCTTCGGAAAGTAGTCAGACGTGTAGGTCACTACATCCGGCACGACACCCACGCGCTTCAGATCGGCAATAATACTCTGTTCGAACTCCTCCTTCTCTTTGCTCGGGTTTGTGTCATCGAAACGCACAATAAGCTTGCCATGGTAGTGACGCGCGTAATAGTTGTTTAGCATGCAAGCCTTGATATGGCCAATATGCAGGTATCCCGATGGTTCAGGAGGAAAACGCGTCACAACCTGTCCATCGACAGCATCCTTAAGAGGTGGACAGCTTCCCGAGTCTTTCGCCTTCTTCACAGCTCCAACCGGGGCAGGTGCGTGCATGGCTTTCAAGGTGCTATCCACCTTGGCAAACACCGCTTGCTGCGCTTCCAAGTGCGCCAACCAGCGAGCCACATTCGGGTACACGGATAAATCTAGTTCTTTCTGCAGCGGCGACAGTCGCGCCCACAAGCCAATGTCTGCCAGCGACAGAGCGTGGCCTACAACAAAAGTCTGTGTCTTGAGCACATGATCCAAGATCTGCAGGCCGCTATCATCGTCCACACTCGTGCCAACACGCGTCAGCGCAAAGTCCAGCCACGCATCAATCTGCGACAACAGCAGCGCCGTCTCCGTAACCGCTGCATCCTTCGACGCCGCACCATACAGCCCCAATTCAGGCTTGAGACGCGCCAAGTAGCGCGCAATTGCAAAGTCGCCCGACACGAGGCGCCCGTCCACAAGCGTCAGTGTCGGCACCAACGCCGCGCACACAGCATCCCGTCCAAAGTTGCGAAATCCAGGCGTGTACTTGATCAATTGAGCCACAACAAAACTCGCACGGGGCAATAAACCGGCACTTGAGAACACAATTACTCCGTCGTCCTCTGCTGAAGGAGGAGGCAGCTCCATGCCGGCGTAAACAGCTTTCTTCAGCGTCTTCTTGATTGTAGCCGTAGCTGAAGTAGCAGCAGGAGGCATGTCGTCTACTGTGCCCGTCTTGACTGCGAGCTTGTGCGCCTTCTTGCGCTCTTTATTGAGCTCTTTCTTCGACTTCTTGGCTGGATCCTTCAGCCCCTTCGACTGCTCTAGAGTCGTGTCCGTTGCCTCCTCCTCCTCCTTCTGCGTCTTCTGCGTCTTCTTCTTCTTCTTGGCACTGGGCGGCGGACCAAAGTCTTTGCCGGTTACTTCCTTGAACTCCGTCTTCAGTGCGAGCAGCTGCGCCACCGCTTCCTTGATCGCTGCTGCATTGTCCGCGTCTTTCACCGCCTTCAAGTCGCGCACTTTGTCGCCAGCAGCCGCGATGCGAGCAGCGAGTTCCTCCTCTGTACCCATTTGATGCCAATCACTCTCTAGACACCAGCAGAACCACAAATGATAGCGAATCCTGGGGGGCGAGCGCAATTGTACCAGATCAGTGGTACAACCGACGCCCTTTTGACGCGCACAACTCCTTCTGGCACGAAAAAGAGCTGCTGTTCTGGTGTGGTCGACACCAGATGTACCTATCTTGCGCACGTCTACGTACGGTTGATGTCCAAACGCCACGCGTGACAAGAGTGACCCTATTCATCGTCTGTCTTAACTAGTGACCCGTTTATGCCAAAACGACGCGAATTAGCGAATGTGGAGCAAAGTGGCGGCTTTAGCCTGTGCAGCGAGAACTTCGGGTCGTTCGCGCTGACCTGCAGCTTTGCGTAGTCGATGAGCGACCGCGAGCGACGTAGGACGCTTCTTCGGGTCTGGTGATAGACACTCCTGCGCAAGCTTCTTGATACTTTCCGGACACGTCACGCGAAATGTAGGCTTCCATCCTTCACCCACGATCTTGTGCACTATATGGCTCTCGTTCAGTGAGCAAGCAACGTCCTTGTGGCTGCTTTGGCGTGCGCTGCTTCTCAAAGGACAAAAAGGATACGCCACGGGCTTCTCCCGATCATGAAACGGCAACTCGCACGTGTCGATCTCAGATAGCACAATGCCAAAAGCGTACACGTCCGAGTCTATCGAAGTTTGCGCCGCACATTTTATCAACTCGGGAGCCATCCAACGTCCCGTACCGCAAGCTCGAGATCCATCTCCAGACATGTCGACAGTACCGTCGTTCCTTCTTCCTTGCTTCAAGTATTCACCTTCATTGGATACGAGGTATCGCGAGAGACCAAAGTCAGTCAGCTTGGCACGGAGATCGCTGCGCAACAGAACGTTGGCCGATTTCAAGTCGCCGTGCACTAAAGGTGGATTCAACGAATGAAGGTACACGAGCCCTTCAATGATGTCAATGGCCAGACGCCACTGTTGTTTCGTCCACGTCCAGATGCTTTGAAACTGTTCACAATCATCATTTTTCCTTAGAGCATTTTTTTCCTTGCGTTTGACGGCATGAAGGAACACTCGAAGGTCGCCCCGTGGCAAGAACTCCATAATCAGACGTAAATCGTTTCCTGGGCCCATGGCTACTCCGCGAAACTCGACAATGCGGTTGTGCTCTAGCCGTGACATTATTCGTATTTCTTGAACAAAATCTAGAATAGCTTGACCTTGGCGGCAGACAGTATTGACCTCATCTCCGGTAGACAATGCCGAAAATTTGGCACCCATCATGACTGCGTTCGGCAATTTTTTCACGACAATCTCTTGCGAGCGGTATAGCGCGTGCCAAACTTCACCGCATGCGCCAGCAGCTAGCATGTTCCGAAGAACGATTGCATCGAAATCCATACGATGTGAGAAAAGCTCTTCGCTTTCCCATTCGGACATTATACATGAAAGCTCCAATGGCAACGTAGGAGAATGCGTGCCGACTGTCTTTCCATTCCGTTGTGGCGAAGATTCCGTTGTTGCTCTCGTTGGCGACTTCTTACCCGCTTCAATTGTGCTTTGGCCAAATATCGATCCAGTACTCTGGTCAAACTGGACTCGAGAGGGGCCCGATTTGGACGCCTCACTAGCCTTTCGTTCCACGGAGTCTATTGTCTTGACCGCCACTTTGTCTCTGCTTCTACTACTTGATTTCGAGTGCACAAACAATCCACAGCCGTTAGATCCCCAAAAGTTGCATTGAGGTAGTAAACGACGTCTTGTGTTCTTCGTAGCGTCTTCAAACACAAATCTGGGGCCAATCTTCATCTCCCCATTGTTGCCTTTATCAGCTAGCATCACGTCAATAGCAGTAGTCCCGTCAGTACCTTCCTTCTTCCTCGTTTCGTGGTCCGTCTCCTGCCTACGCACATCGTAGCTCTTCATTCGATGCTTAAAACAGTGTGTCCAGACACAACAAGCTTTCGCCGACACCGCCTTGAATCTCTCCTCTTCGAGCTTGATTTTTGCTTGCCTGCTGCCACGTAGCACCTGTCCCTGTACACCCTCGGCTCGTCTCGCCCCTGACTCAGCCGTCTCCTTCAGTACCTCCTGGTGGCCCACATACCCCATCACATCGAATACTCGATCGTCCCGACTCAAAAGCGTCGCTCTCGTGAGCACCAAATGCTGCAAAAGCTTTCTCGTCTCAATGTTCTCGTCAGAAAAGACAAAAAGCGCCGTCTGCTGCGCTTCAAACACATAGAAACGACGACGATAGCGACGAAAGATCATTGGTCCTTCTTTACGCCACACCCAACCGCTCAGACGCAACGGAAGCACGAGCACCTTCTCCGGGGACACGGCATCCGGATACTGCTCCTCCAAGTACTCTGAAATGCCCTGTCTCTCGTCACACAAGCTCCGAACCGCAGCGGAAGCGCCGATAGTGATGCGATCTGCCATCGCGGGTTCCATGGCGCTCTTCTTGGGGTTTGATTGGCTCGTTGACACATCGCTTCAACTTATAGAAATATCTCTGATTCGTCCGATCTTATCCAATCAGCATCGGCTCTGACTTTAGAAACGTGCGATACCAGTATTTGCCAGATACCGTACCGACCGACGGTATCATCATACCACGCGGCAGTCTGCCATCTGTAGTGCTGCCAAAGGAGGGGGAGAGCCATGGTCCTATCGGCTGTGTTCATCACGGACCTCAAGGGCAAGGTCATCATCTCGCGCAACTTCCGCGGAGACATCCCCATGTCTGCGTCGGCCAAGTTCACGCGATACGTACAGGAAAAAGAGGACTCGGAGCAGCGTCCAGTGTTCACGGAAGATGGCTTCACTTTTGTCTATCTTAAGGTAGGCTCCATGCTTGTCACGAGTTTTATTTATTTCCACTTTTGAAAAAAAGCAATTTTAAAGTCTGAGGTTGCTCATGTTCGCATTGTTGTGGAACGCCTTTTTTCACAGCATAATAATTTGTACCTCATGACCGTGACCAAGACGAACTCGAACGTGGCGCTTATGCTCATGTACCTCACGCGCATTTGCCAAGTGTTCCGAGTCTACTTTGGAGAGCTGGAGGAGGAAAGCATTCGAGATAACTTTGTCATTATCTTTGAGCTGCTGGACGAGACGATGGACCACGGATACCCACAGACCACAGAAGCTCGGATCCTGCGCGAGTATATCACTCAGGAAGGGCACAGACTAGAGGCAGCTCCTCGCCCGCCGACGGCGCTGACCAACGCCGTGTCGTGGCGTAGCGAAGGCATCAAACACCGCAAGAACGAGATCTTCCTGGATGTTGTGGAGAAGCTTAATCTCCTTGTCTCGAGCAACGGCACTGTGCTGCACTCGGAGATCATTGGAGCTGTTAAGATGAAGAGTTTCCTGTCAGGCATGCCAGAGCTCAAGCTCGGGCTGAATGACAAGGCACTGTTTGAAGCTACAGGGCGGTCGTCCAGCAAGGGGAAAGCCGTCGAGATGGAGGACATTAAGTTTCACCAGTGTGTGCGTCTCGCTCGCTTTGAGTCCGACCGAACGATCTCGTTCATTCCGCCTGACGGAGAATTCGACCTGATGACGTACCGTTTGGCAACGCACGTGAAGCCGCTGATTTGGGTCGAAGCTGTCGTGGAACCCCATTCGCGCTCACGTATCGAGTACATGGTGAAGGCCAAGTCACAGTTCAAGAGCCGCAGTATTGCCAACAACGTGGAGATTGTGATCCCTGTACCACCTGATGTCGACTCGCCCAGCTTTAAGTGCAGTATCGGATCGGTCACGTACGTGCCTGACCGCGACGCCATTGTCTGGTCAATTAAGCAGTTCAATGGCTCTCGCGAGTACCTCATGCGTGCACACTTTGGACTTCCAAGTGTCGACAATCATGAGGCTACAGACGATTGGAAGGCGCCGATCCAAGTCAAGTTTGAGATTCCCTATTTCACGGTGTCGGGCATTCAGGTGCGCTACCTCAAGATCATCGAAAAGAGCGGGTACCAGGCACTGCCGTGGGTCCGCTACATCACCCAGAACGGTGATTACCAGTTACGCATGTCTTAGATGTTCTTCTTGGCTTTGTTGGAGAAGTAGCCGGTGGCTGACTGATTTAAGGCCAATGTGCTGCAGAACGCTTAGGGAGGCACGGTCACACATAATAAAAAGCAGGACGGCAACTTTCGGTGAGTAGAGCGCGGGAGGTTAAACGTACAGAGATGTTTTCCTAGGACCGGATGTTTCTGGATGCCAATGAGAAAGATGTATACGAGTGGATGTTGTTTGCCTTGATCAGTAGCTATGCACATATTTTCTACGCATAGCCTTGCCAGCAGATACCCTGCCAACTAGTCTACCGTCAATGGTAAAAAGTTGTTGGCGTGGCTGCAGATGTAGTGGGGTCAATAACTGGTAAAGTTTCAGCCACGACCATCTAAGTCGCCGACCTAGAAGCGTGCGCATGCGGCATTTTCAGGTTCGACGAGGGTACCGGGTCGTGTAGTTGCCATGTACTCAATGGATGACACGAAGTTTCCAATCGTCAATATTGCCGCGGTTGTTCATCATACTCGGCCAGGCACCTCCAAAGCCAGACAAGGAGATTTCAAACTCTGCTCACAGATTCTAGCATTGTGAATAGCTGCTTCCCCGGACCAAGGATCAAGAAGACCCTGTGTGCCTGTGGTGCGCATCGGATATACGCAGATTTTGCTGAGGTATTAAAGTTTGCCGGCAATCCATATACTATAGCCAGATGGTCGGTCGTCTACGTTCGACTCTGCGAAGACCCCATCGTCGTAAGCGAATGTCGGAGCTTGGCAGATCCATCGATCTCTTCATCAGGCCTCATTGACATGGACGAGCAAGAAGAAGTCGGCGTAAACGTTTGCAGTGTTACACGTACGACCGCGCGCGCTTCATACAACTCGTCATTAGTTCTCCGTCAACAACGCTGAGTTGCTCCCGAGAATGCATGGCTCCGGATCAACCGTTCTGTCCCCATCTTTTGTATCGTAATAGCTACGTCCCGGTATTTGTGACTCAACAATCGGACTTTGAAATCTTGCCACCTCCACACAAAATTAGAAATCCACTGAAAAGCGCTGCTGACTCAAAACGGTTCTTGGCGCCAACAACATCCACGGCTGTAAGTAAAAAAAATCATAGTTGGACGAGATCAACTGATAGTGAAATGCCATTTCGATCAGCAAAAGCCATCGTCGCGTTTGCATCAGACACTTCGGTAAAGATTCCCGTGTCTTTACCACCCTCCACAAAATATTGGGGCACGACTGTTTGCGACGGCTTTGTGCACATGTACTTTGTCTGCCAAAGTACCGCGCAACTAAAAGCGCTTCAAGCAGATGTTGCTCCCATGCTCTTCGTACTCTTGCTTGCTTACGATGCGCTCAGATAGCGCATTGGACTCCACCAAAGAGCAGCAGCCTTGCCATGCAGCGAGAATCGGACTAGCATTGCGGACCATAGTCAATAGACACATCAGTATCAATAAATGAAACATTCAACGTACAAACAAGTACAACTTACTCTGGTGGCTCGTGCACATATATGTCGAAGTCGTCGGACACCAACGACCGTAATTCACGTTCTAGCCGCTGACGGAAATTCCTGAATTTCGTGTTGCCACCAACAAGCAAGATGTTAGCGTAAAACGCCTCCGAGAGCTCATCGGGACATGCCTCAACAGCCCGCGTAATCGCCTCTGCGACGCCTGCCTGATGAATGCCAATGTCCGACGGGTTAAACAACACCTCTGGCACAGTCACCATCTCGACTCCCATTTCTAAAACCTGTTCTTCATCGCCCGCCGCCACGGACTGTCCATCATCGTTCGATTTTGTGAGCTCTTCTTCATCCGCCACAATCGTATCGTCTTCCTCATTGTCGTCACGAAGCCTTCCTTCAAACGTCCGGACATAGTCGGGCAAAACCCAATGCTTTCTCTCTCGTCGATCAGCATGATACCGCTTGAGGTCATTGTCAAATTCCATGGAGCAGTAGCAAAGCGCTTCTTTCAGCTCATTAATTACGGGCGTATCATCCATAACATTCCACTGACGAAACGACACGATTTCCTTGAAGTAATTCGTCAGTAGCTTGCCGCCAACATTAATCCGTCTCACACCTGGCTCGTAAATTCTCCCGTTAATCACCGGTAACACGTGCGTGAACGAAAATCCCGAGTCCACTACGAGATGACACAACGACGTCGAGAACCGGAGCTGACCTTCGTCTTCAACAGGAAACGACATTTTCGGGGAACCAGGCCCGTTCATCTCCTGTTGTGCTCTTTTGCAAAAAGTACTCGTACCACAAACGTCGGTCCTCGTCTCAGCACGACTTTTTTGATACTCACGTTCACAGTGCTCAGAGTACGACAGGACACACGTCTCTGCTGCACTGACTCGAGCGTAAGACTGGAACTGCAGCTCTTCAAACACGACTTGATCCATGCTCTCGTTCACAACTGCGGGGGCGAATAACGGGGAAGTAACCACCAGGGAGTACTCGGACGGGACTTCTACATTCAGGATCTGCAGTAGAAAAGCAGTACAAGAAGTTTGCGCATAATGTCAGTAATCAAGAGTACCCCGTAACCCGTCGCTCTCGTGAAGTAGCAACAGCTACAGCAGCTTGAACTTGCCTGGCTCGACAACAGATGCGTCCAGAGCTCCGACTCGATATTCCAATTCACGCAGTATCCCCTGCTTACACGTTACGTAACCATTTGTACCCTCAGTATACCCTTTCTACCTGGTTGGTTATGAAAAGTGTACCCCAATAAACAAAGTAACCTCTGAACAGGCCGTAAGTAGCGTAACTTTGCACGCTGCCGCTCGAGCTCCTGTAGTTTCTGACCCATGTACATAACTGGCGCTTGGGAGGCACCCGCCATTGTTGCCACGTGATTGGCAAGAATCGAGGGGGTACACTTTGAGCCCCGACCGAGTACTGACGCCTTTAACGTCGCGCCCCCGGCATCTAACGCGACGACTTTCATGGGGATCGATGGAGGTTACGAATATCGGACTTTTAGCATGGTTTAAGTTGCTTAGATAATGTTTGAAATTGGTGCAGGTTTACACGGTGCCGCTTTTCAATCTTGCGATAATCTCTCGTGTACCCCTCCCTCCCCTCAAAATTGATACGACAACTAACAATACAGCTGGGCGCTATTAAAGTTGTTGCGACTTCACCCTTTGTCCCAACACGTTCTCTCGCCTTCTCTGTACGTATATAACCAATCAACTTGTATTGACGCATGGAATCACTTTCAATTTTAGTCGAAAGCTGTTGGAATTGGAATGAATGTGAGAGACCTTTCGGACTATGAGGGAAATTGGGACTCGGACATGATAGTTCGTCGTATGGAACAGGAAAATGCCACAGTTGGCACTGGTCAATTCGTTATGTGGGAACGAAGAACATAATTAAGGTGGGAAAGAACACCAGTCGTTAACACCTCAATATATTTAGTCTTCCTTTTGCATTCACGAACGCACACGCAGTCCGATAAACATTCTAACATGGTTATGAGCCCAACACTGATGAAGTACACGAGTGTAGGAGTGCCAAAAAAAATGGCAAGGATTGGCAGACGTACAAACAGGCGATGAAAATGTCTTTAAGATAAACGACTTCAAGAATATTGCAACCGGTGACCTGACTAAGGCAATGCTTGAATGTGCTAGAGCTGGAAAGCAAGAAGAGTTTATAAAAAAGCAACTTAATATCATACGCATGATTGGTACGTCGGTGCCCCGGAAAATCTTCAGCATTTACGAGACAAGGAGCCGGATTGGATATGTGGGACGAGCTTTGCGATCTGTACGAAGGAAAGCAGAAGAAGCAATCAGGGTATACACGGTTCGTTTCGTGGAACATGAGCTATGGCCAAGCTCACACCTTAAGGATGTGCCAACCTACATATGTGCGAGATGTTTAACCTCAAAACGGAATTGATAAACCTGACGCACACTGTAAGAGATAATACTTTGGCTGACATGCCGCTGGAGAGCTTGACAGATCAGATCGAGTTTAAGAGCCTTAAGACTTCCGTCTCTAATGATGCAAATCCGAGTATTTAGCGCATTGCGGTAATACTTGTCGTCTTCAATGCAGACGGAGCTCGAATTCTCGAGAAAATTATTGCTGCATCCGCCCAACAGAAGGAGTTATGGAACAGGCGCTGTGAAAAGAGAAATAGAAAGTAGAATTAGCAGTAAAACTTACATCTATGAAGTGGATTGAGGCGATGTATACCAGAATAGTTCCATTGAATTAAAGAGAATTCGCATGCATTACACATGTGGAAATGATAATCGCCTCAAAGCTAGATGTCCCCAAAAGACACGGAAGCCAGATAGAGCTTTTTGCGGAGCTGCTTAGCGCTCCCTAACAGAGGAAGTCTTTGACTCAAAGAGAGTTTTTAGTCATAACAAACTAGCAACGACGTACATTCGTTCAGGCGTACAAGCTTAACAATCCTCGTTCCAAAGAGATTACGAGTCACTGAATCACACACTAACTAGTCACTACCAGTTAAAAAGAGTAAGCGCCTTTACAAGGCTAATGCGCTACACAACACACTACGCCTTGACTAGGCACTTGTGTCCAACGATTCATAAGGAGAACTGAGCTTTATTTATTTTTTAACTACGGTGATAAAACCCTAAAACCTTGTCCGACTTCTACATTGCGATCCTGTGACAGAAGTCCTATCCCTTATTCCTAACCGATAAAGTGCGGGATTACCGTAAGTACATGATACCAAGAGTGTACGACTCAGATCCACCGATAATTACTAGGTGTGGACACACAACGCGACCGGCTCAAAAACCGCCGTGTAACCCCGTTACACCCTCCCCACCAAACTGTCGATACCCTTGTGTCGACAATTCTGCTACTGCTCTTTGAGGTCTATCAAAGCTGTGGTCTTGACCATCATGTTTACGAAATGTCTCAAAATGACTGAGTCAAATCTTTGTCATACACCCTTAAGAAAATGCTCGAAGAGGGTATTGTGGAGTACGAGAGCAACGACATCGCGTCGAGTGTCAATGGCCGGCCTTTATCCAGGCCACCGGCGCGTGACACCACGCGCGTCGCGCCTAATCTATTCGTGGAACGATAGAAGGTAATTTTAACCCTTACACAGCGTGCAGTCGTCGAGCCTGCGTTGAGTGTGTTGCACAACACACTTAATGAAAATCAAGCTCAATATCTTCAGTCGGTCGATGACCGCAGGTGTCAAGCAATGTGTAGCCACAGCGTATGCTCAGTAGTTACCGCTTCACGCCACCGAGTGTGGATGAACGCATTCGTCAGACTTCCGGGCAGTCACTCGCAGCATGAATCATGGGACCTAAGGCTCCTACGATCATAAAACTAGCGAAGAGGGAGGCTCTCAGGGCGATATACCCGGGGGCGAGCTTACGACCGTTCTAGAGTACCTTGATAGGCTGAATTAGCAAGCACGAGGTGCATCAGTATCAGCCATGCGGACAGTACCTTTCGTCCTCTTCCCTTATGAGACGGAGGCGGAGAACGACGTCATATTCACGCGTTAGGCTCACAGAGCTCGCTGTCTGTCAAGCATGTCAAATATCCAAGAGAGCACTTCACTTGCTGAAGTATAGCTCGAACGCAATATGGAAAAACAAAAGGCTAAAGGCCAACTGCTATCGTTTTATCGCACCTCTATGCTGCGGAAACGTGCATCAGTGGACTGTTGCAGATGCAACCCCCTTTAGTTCCACACCGACTAGTGAAAAGAGGTATGGGTCGACTGACCCCTTATACGATTTCAAAAACGCTAACGGTATACGGGAAATCCTGCCGCAAATGACTCTTATTACTCCCATGAGTTCTCCGACTCCAGGTACCCCCGCCACTGTACCAAGTACTGATACTGACAGTGCGACGACGTAGAGCTGCAGGATTCGTTCAACATGGTACTGTTGATCCTTTTGCTCGTCAACGAGAGCAGGCGGTGGTCGGGTACCTTGACGCGTCGTTGACGAGTTAGTGCACGAGGTGCATGATATGCGTGACGAAGTGGCGCGTCTTGAATGACAACTGGATCATCTCTTGAGGTTTCCTCGACATTAGAAAGTGTTGAATCCTTTAGCGCAAGCGCCTCGTGATTCACCCGCGATGGATCAAGGTAAGGCTTAAGCAAGCCGACGTAAAACACTGGGTGTTCGCGTCTTGCGTGGGAGTTTGAGCATATACGCTAGACCCTTCTTGGCTACGTCCGTAAACATATCAATGAAGCTAGGACGCAACCTGGGTCTACAGACCGCTGACATCACCTTGGTAGGTAGATTATTAGCATTAAGTAAGACTAGGTGTCCAGCATCATAACTCTCGATACAATTTCTGCCTCTGGCATCTGCTTGTTACTTTTGTTTGTCCTGGCTATCAGCCATCGCGTCACGTTCATTTCGTAAGACATTTAATCGCGCTAGCGAAAAACCCCCTTACCTGTTTCTAAACATTAGTCGGGCTGCCATCAGCAAGTTAATCGGCTTTTCCTTCCCCTCCAAGCCTAGAACCACGAAGTGATAGCATTAAAAGAATGCGTAGGTGAGTGAGACTATTTGCGTAGAATGAAGTAAACCCAGTAGAGGCATGAACAGCGTTGTTTAACGCAAACTAGACCACCGTAGCATCGAGCTCCAACGCTTAGGCGTATCAGCACAAACACTGCGCAAATTGTCACCAATGACACGGTTGACCCGCTCAGTTTGACCATCGGTCTGCGGATGATCCGCTGTGGACATGTCCAACCTGATGCTTAGAACCTTGAAGATGGAACTCCAAAACTTGCCAGTGGAACGTGGATCACGATCAGAGACAATTACCACAGGCAAAGCGTGTTGGCGGAACACATGGTCAATAAACAGCTTTGCCGTACCTTCACCATCGATAACATCAGGCACAGCCGCTAAATGAGCCATCTTGCTCAAACGGTCAACAAAGACCACAATGCTAGTGTTGCCGTCCAAATCCTTCGGTAGGCCAAAACCAAAGTCTATACTGACGGGTTTCAAACACCCAGTATAACAGGCAGACTAACAAACGGTGCAATTGCATGTGCTGATGGTATGACCCGTTGATACGTTATACATGTACGCACATATGTGCTCACACATTTGTACAACTTGGACCGCCAATACGTCTGTGTAACTGAGCTACAGGCCTTCTCACGACCGTGTTGACCGCTCAAAGCGGTGTCGTGTGCCTCAAAGATGATACGTTATATCAAGTCCTCATTACGAGGAACAACGACACGAGGCACATCATAAACACTCGTACAATAGCACACCAATTGACCATCGATGACATATTGATGAGATCTCACACGTAAAAGTGCCAAAAAATTGATGTTCGAGTCTTAAAACTCCTCGTTATCAATAGCATGAAGCAATGCTACTCATTGCTCATCACGTGTATATGCCGCACGAATGAAATTTACGATGGATGACGACAGAGTCTTAACATAGGCAATCTTATAATCTGGTCTGCTTGACAACGCATCAACCAAAGCCTTCTTTTTGCACGGATTATACTTCACTTCGAAGTCGTATTCAGCAAAGAATGAGCCAACGGGCCATACGCTGTGAGAGGTAAGGCGACTTTGTCGCAGTGCGTAACGACGCATGATCTGTGAAGATCACAAAAGTCTTTAATCCAAGTAGATGGACTCTGAGCTTAACAAGAGAATATTACATCGCGAGTAACTATTTGTCATTGACTGGATAGTTCTTCTCTGCAGCCTTGAGCTGACGAGACTCATAAGCGATGACGCATTCATGTCCACGGACATCTGTCTGCAACAATGCACAACCAGTAGCAAAATTATACGCGTCACTGACGATACTGAAAGGCAGCTCAGGGTCAGGCAAAGCCAAAATTGGAGCATTAAGGAAATTTTTTATATAGATTCAAAACTTTGAGCATGGACTGTGTCCCAACAACAAACTGCACCCTTCTTAAGAAGGTGGGTTAATGGCCTTGCCAAGTCAGCGTAGTTTGTACTGAACTTATGCAAGTAATTGGCTAGGCAGAGCCAATTACGCAAGTCCTTTTGGTTTGGCGGAACCGGCCAGTCAACAATTGACTTTACCTTAGCGGGATCCACTCGTTGGCCACGCTTTCCGATGAAGTACCCCGGAAGGGAATTTCTTCCGCATTAATAGTGCACTATGATGCATTTGCATACAGCTTGTTTATACGCATCCTCGAGCACTGCTCGTAAAAAGTCTATGTAATTCTCCACATCTGACATTACTCGTTCCTCACGGCTATGAGAATAAATGTCTTCGAAATAGCTTTGTGCGTATTCTCGTTGAGTTCGGAGCATTTGCGTCACATGCCGATTAAAAGTGGCCTGGCATTAGATAGTCCTTGAGGCATTACAAGCCACTCTCTAAGCATACCGCTTGGACTACTAACCGCTGTGAGCGGAATATCACTCGCTCACATGAGCAATTGATATAACTCATCGTGCAGTCGAGTGCACTGAACATGGTACAATCTACCATTGCGTTTTAAAGAAACTTTCTTTCTAGAATGAGGCGTCTGTGCCGGTATAGTGGCTGCATTAAGCTTATTGTAAGCATGCACAACGCGCCACTTGCCATTTGGCTTCCTGACACAAAGTGTCGGTGTCGAGGGTGGAGACTTGCTCTCACGCATCATGTAAGCCGCGTGCTTTGCACGAAAGAACTCGTCAATGACGCCACTCTGTTTCTTTAGTAGGGGCCGTTGCCGTGTCGCACAGTATTTGGTTCCAGGAATCAAGTCAACGTAATGACATACGCCTCAATCAGGAGGCATAGTGGAAGGTGAATCGTGACGCAACACATCCTGAGACTCTTTCATCAAAGGATAAAATAAGTTTCCAGGATCTGTCAAGATCGATGACCCACTTCGGGCACTCGTTGCCGCCTTTGTGTATTCCAGAACAGCTTTATTAAGAAGTGACGACAAGTGCAATTCACTTCCGGTATTATGACCATCACTTCAGATAAGTCACCCGACTTCAAGTTCAGGCCAAACTCATCGACAGACATTTCGTCTAGCTCTAATAAAGGATGGAGTTAAAGTAGAGTCTCAAGACTCACTGACCCATCTACGTCACCAGTCACTAAATTAACGAGTGCATAAAGCTGCTCGCTAGTATCAATCGGTGACGTAACGGACGCATTGCGTTGCATAGTAGCAATATGGCGTCTCTGTCGTCTCTGTGATGAGACTGAACGTCTCAAAGAGACTGGAAATTTCTCGCCCCCAAGGTTGATATTATCAACATCCTCAACTTGCTCTATACAAGAGCCGGTGTCAAAACCGACACCCGGGACATCAATATCCCCGATGTTAACATGACCATCAACCTTCAGATGCTCATTACCAGAGCCGATGTCACTACCGACATCCGGGTCTATACCACCCTAAGGTGACGAACTGCGTCAACCTTAATTTGCCTAATACCAGCAACGATGCCATTACCAACATCTGAGACTACACTGTCCTTAAGGTGACGAGCTACGTCAACCTTTATTTAATCTATATCAGATCCGACGTCATTACCGACATATGGTGATGAGTCACTTCCAGTAAAATCACCACTCAGTGGAAACTTACGTGCCACTCCACGCTCATCAAATGGGCCTCGCCCCAGATGACTTGGTTTCTCACCGACAATGTCTCGACTGAAATTTAGTGTGTCGCTATCGCGGCCAACATCACTCAGTGGGTACTTATGTGCCACTTCATGCTCACCAGATGGGATCAACCCATGCTGACTTGGCTATTGGCTAACGATGCGTCCAGCAATCAGTGATTTGTTATCACAACGATTATAGCTAGACGTAGTACGTGCCGTTTTACTAACATTCATTGAGCTTGACTCGTAAATAACATTTTTGACATCGTTCAACTCAACGAGTTCATCCATACCGATGTCCAGCGAACTGACTGTCTCAGTCCGTAGCTCGCGCAAAAAGCGTTTTTGTTTTCTAGCAGAGGTGAGCACATGAATCTCCAAAGCTCCACTAGGAACAATGCGCGTTGCGCCTAAGGTCTTTGACCTCCAATCAAATAATGGATCATGGTGTTCTAGCCAAGCCATACCTAGGATTAGATAATACCTCTTATCCAAGTCAAGGACTAGAATTTGTTCGATGCTGTCACAGTTCAAATTTAACGCTTAAGCTCACAGGAACTTTAGGCACAATGACCAATGCACCTGTCGCCAAGCAAACAATGATAGTCTCACATTTTTTCCGCTTTCAGCGCCTTAGCATACTGCTGACTCCATTCCAGGAAATAACGGCGGACATAATTTCCAGTGCTCCGGAGTCGATCAATATGAACCATGGCTTATCAAAGCCCTTCACCGTTGATTTTGCAACTAACAAGTCTGGTTTGTACTTGTGCTTCGTGACATCGCTCACGAATCCACTTGGGGTTGGTCCTGTTTTCCATCACCTCCTAGAGTAAAATAGAGCCTAACTCTTCCCCAGCAGGACGCCCCGCGCCTACTGGGACTCGATGTCTGCCCGCGTCTTACCAACGAGTTGGTTAGAGACGGGAGGTCGGCTCGAGTGAGCCTGTCCGGGACTTCTCAATAGACAATTGGGACGAAGGTGTTTAATGCTCTCGTACACAAAATATCTACGGATGTTTAAACGCTTTTGTACAGCGTAAAGATCAGCTTCTTCGTCTCTCTCAGCGAGACTAAGTTACATGGGTTCTGCCCGATGCATGATTGAGCACTGCTCGACGAGTTTAATTGAAACCCGTGAGTTTCGTTATGGGCAGTTTAGAAGTTACTCTCTGTGTTCAATGCTATGTCCACTGCACCCTCAAATGTCGAGGGTTGGTTACGGAACACTTCTGTTCAGGCAACGACAGTGCGAAGTCCCTCCATAAAAATGGTGACCAAAACTGTCTCAGGTAAAGGGTTGAGTAGGATAGCAGCAATTAGAGCTCACATCTCTTAGACATAATCGCTAAGTCATTTTAATCCTGGCGGATTGACGGGATGCTTGATCACACGCGTCTACCTGCTTACGCGAACAAAACAACCGATATAGCTGCGGTTTTAGCATGTCCAAGGTGGGAAAAGCCTCTTCTATCAAGGTGCTAGAAGTGAAAACCCACTGTCTGTCTCGCCCACCTAATTTCGATAGAATCAGGCCCACCTTTTTCTGCTCTGACCGCAGCAAGGCCGAACTATGGTAACCTCCATCTCTCGAACCCACAAACAGAGATTTTCTCCCTCTTTCCCTCGAAGTCTTGACACTTTAAACTAAAGGACGAGTGCTTGACTTAGTGCCCGGAATCGGAACATACCGAGTGGGCATAATAGATACCAAATGGTCATGTACCTGTCCGATCAACGTGGACTCAAAATTCTAGAAGGCCTCGGGACGTGCACGAAGTGCGTCCGGCCGGGCCTTGCGCCACTATAAGAGCCACTTGCTCGTGCCCGATCAACAGCTTGAGTCGTTCAAGCGTGATCCACTGGGCTTCAAAGAGGTTCGTGGCCGTCCCCATCCTCGCAGAGGATTAAGTCTGTATAGACTCAGGTGCAGATTGACTACAAGTGCTACCAAGAGTAGCGGAGCTACTTAGCGCTCCCTAACAGATGAAGTCCTTATATCAAAGAGAGTGTTTAGTTATAACAAACTAACAACGGCGTACATTCGTTCAAGCGTACAAGCTTAACAATCCCGGTTCCAAAGGGATTACGAGTAAGTGCCATTACAATGCTAATGCTCTACACAACACGCTATGCCTTGACTAGGCACTTGTGTCCAACGATTCAAAAGGAGAATTGAACTTTATTTATTTTGTGACTACGGTGATAAAACCCTAAAACCTTGTATGATTTCTACATTGCGATCCTACGACAGAAGTCTTATCTCTTATTCCTAACAGATAAAGTGCGGGATTACCGTAAGTACATGATACCAAAAATGTGCCACTCAGATCCACCGATAATTACTTGGTGTGGACACACAACGTAACCAGGTTCAGTAAACGCCGCGTAAATCCTGTTGCATACTCAATTCGGTCTTGACTCGATTTTCAGACATCGATCCGGTTAATCCTTTTGCATATCCGATTAAAGATGAATTACGGTAGCTAGGCATACTGTTATCAATAGTGTGACAAAGAAATATCTTTCTGTTGGCATCGTACTCTTCACGATTGACTCCACCAGATTCTGTATAATATCCAACCATTCGTGACGATCTGGCCCTGAACAAAGCCGCGATACCCTCATTCAGGTCACATTTGTTCAGGTTGGGTAGAGGGTATTTTAGATGTCTTAAACACCAATATTACGTCGGGTTACTAAAAGCCAATCATGATACCTGAGCTTACAACTTACGCACATTGAAAACATATCCGAGGATTACATCAGTCAAACATCATATCTCCCTCGCTACCATTCATCATATCGAAAGAGGAGGTTACGAAAAGCCGACTTTTCGACCCAATTAAGCTGCTCGTTTATCTCCAGCCAGCTGTCAGTCAGTCATTAATTAATGCCCTTGTCCTCGACTCCTCAGGCCTCGCGTTCTCGTTCATGACTGCGGCCACGTGCACCGCCGGCCGGTCTTCCTCACGTGATGACTGGGAGAAGGAGTTGTAAGTGTCTGTTCCGTGCAACAAGTGAAAATCGATGCGGTATGTGGCGGTTTGGCTTTATGTTGCACTCACATCTCCCTCCCGTCCCGTCTCTTGTCTGCAGCTTTACGACGTGGCTACGACTCATGGAGCGGCGGAAAGACGAGACGAATCTCTTGAAGACGTTGCAGAGTCTGTTACTGACACAGACGAGACGGGGCGAAGCTGTGGGGCTCGTGCAAGACGCCAAGCACCACGTGAATATGCTGAAAGCCAATGACACGACGATGGCGGAGCTGATGACGCTGCTCAATGAGTTTTTCTTCCAGAATATCCTTCCAGCGCTCAAGAGAGCGAGACGAGTGGAGAGTGAAGGAGGAGATGGTGATGATCATGATGAGGATGTTGGTGTGGCGACAGCTGCTAGTGAAGCGCATGGAGACAACGAAGAACTACCTCAAGACTCTTTGGATCGGTACCTGGAGCACGGAGACGACGGGGACGAGGACGAGTCGGGCGATGGCACGGCGATGCCGCAAGCTTTTGTGGACGACATGAGCGGCTGGGCTTGTTCCTCGCATTCAAGTCTGGGGCAGGCCGAAACGCTGGTCAGGAAGCCTGAAACGGACACGTTGAATGCAGCAACAGGCACTGCGTGTGCTGCTGAGAATGTTGCAAGGAATGAAGACGAACACACCAACGAAAACGAGGATGGAATGGCCGGTGAAGAGTCGGATGATGGAATTCCAGGCGACGCGTTCCACGACATGCTGATTGCTAACAGCTTGAAGATGACTGCTCTGCATGCTCCGGACAAGGTGAAGACTCATGAGCAGCTGGCAGCCCCAAGTTTGACTGAAGCTTCTCCGCAATCAAGGCCTGCACGGACAAAATCGACACGGCAATCACAATCACAGCAAGTTCGTACAGGCTATGCAGCCAAGCGGAAGGACCGAATTGGTCAAAATGCCGCTGCTAGTCTCGTGGCTGACCAGGTCTTGGATGTGCGCACTTATGGAACGATAAAAGAGTATCTCATTGAGTGGCAAGGTATGGCGACACCATTGTGGATTGCGCGGCGGAGGTGCCCACCACAAGCTAAAGAACTGATCGATATGTACGCTTCAACTTTGCGTGCACAAGATAGCACTTGTGTAACCCGAAAACCGACTCATAGATCTCGTGGTACTGGAACAAAACATGTTGCAAGCCCCAAAGGACAGGATGCAGATGGTGAAGACGACGAGGAGATGACACTATACAATGTCGATCACATCGTTAATCATCGCGTGCGCTACAACAAAAAGGAATACCTTGTAAGATGGGAACATTACTCCGAAGGCTACGATACATGGGAAAAGGCCGCAAAGTTGCGTCTCGATGTTCCTAAAATTGTTGAAGCCTATGAGGAACAACTGCGGTGCAACAATGGCGAGGATACCGCTTCCCACTCTGCAAAAGCAGAGCCAAGTGTCGGGAAAATGAAGAGGAAAAGGTACACATACAAGAAAAAAAGCGGCGGTGATGAGAAAACGAGAATTGACAAGAGCGAGACGAAGCATTCACATCGAGGCGGACGCAAGCACGTCAAGAAGAAACGCGGTCGAGTTTCTACGGACAAAGAAGGCGTAAAGTCGTTGCCGGTGGCAGTTAGAAAACGAGCAAAGGCCAAAGTTGGTCGATGAAGAGTTGGAAGCGTGTGGAGTATACGAGTTGAATTGTTGATCACGAGTTGAATAGTTGATCTTAGAGAAGCATTCCACCCGTCAGAATGACCAGTTGTTCTCCACTTTTAAAGTCTTCTACGTACAAGTACGACAGCAAAGAATATAGGGTCATGGCTTGTTTGCTCATGCAGATTAACCGTCGTTGTCGAGGGCAGTTCACGTTGTGTTGATGAACGGAACCTGTGATGGCACAATCTGCTGACACCCCAAGAAACGGAACACAATCGTCTGCTTTTCCAGAAAGTAGCAATTTTTGCCGGAACTCCCCATTGGGGGTAGCCGATGAAAATCGCAGTAAGAGGTGTTCTGATCAGTGATGAACTGTTTACAAGCCAGAGTGTTTGATCAGTGATGAACGGCTCATCGTGCTGGAGTATCCTAATGGTCTGCCATAACCTTTCGATATCTTGCTAATGTCAGGTTCGCTTACCTAAAGACACAAGCACGGACTCAGAGTCGACTTTGAATAGCGCTACAACTGAACTTCGCGAGATGCTGCCAGCCGCCTCACTAGCCATAGCACTCGTGTTTCTATTGCACTCGATTTATCGAACGATAGCGTGGTAACTAGCAGGATGCATATGTGTAGCCACAATTGCAAGGAGATGTCGAAAGAGCTGATGCCTATTCCAAGAATCAAGGCGGTAGTGAATTGCGGTGCTAGCGCACGCGTGCCTTTGTTCGATATAATATGCCATGACGCTAGTATCGATACCTAAGATAAAAGGAATGTAGACACTGCAGCAACCACGTCTTCCTGACCGCCACGAGTGCAATAAGTTGATTCTTGAGTGGCTGAAACAGCTGCTCGTGCACGTGCTGCGTCGGCATCTATTCATCTTATCGCTATAAAGGGTCAAGCGATGACCCGCCTACTTTGGCGTTATCATAGATGTTTTGTTGCGAACGATCTTTACTCTTCTTCGACTTGGTCTGATATTGATAAAGCTTAACGGAACTTGAAATTGTAGCGCTGCTTGCTCTCAAGGCCGTTGCATCGTCGGATTTCGTTACCCTCGTATTTACAACTGAAGCTATGTACGAACACAACGGCACGTTCGCTGCAGGCTTCGTGCTAGCAACCTAATTCTACTTTTTGTGGCTCAAAATTTGCTTCACTATGGTGACCGTTTGTATTCTTGAGCTGCAGATCGTTTGTGAGTATTACGATCAGCTTTCTTAAAAAGTGCTGCAATACACCTTGCTGTTTTTGTGTCTACCAACAATTCTATACAGCTTTTTGTTGGCAACAGCTGCCGTATGTCGAAATGAATCGCTTAATCTCTGCATTCTGGTCAACGTGACGTTCCTGATGCAGAATGAGAGTGCTCTCCACAGCACGTCGTATTACACTGACACTTTTTTACTCGAATGACGTTGTTACGTACGGTTCTTTTATCGACCAAGTTTTACATCATAGAGTTGCAGTTATGTCCACATGACAAAAGGTTGGTGTTGCTCTCCATAAATAAGGCGTGACTTGACGACTTCAAAATGCGAGTCTGTCGATAAAAATATTATAAGAAAGCAGTAAGGCCTAAAGTGAACTGACAAAGAGCGACGCAGCCAACACGACGGCTTCTGGTGTAGAGAAGAGCGGGTGGTACACGAGAAAACACGGTACGTAAAAGGGCAAGAAACCACGTTGTACAAAACGAATTAGCTCGCCATCTTAGCTCGTCCCATTGAAATAAATCATCTAAAAAGATGCAGGTTGTAGGTCTTCTGTTAGCCGTGACCTCGTGTTGGGGAACTGTGCCCAAATCTCATTACAATAAAAGGGAAAGGTAACGATTAATCAAGATTGTAAGTGTACATCATCAATATCAAGAGTATCAAGAACGAGAACACGCCATGAGTACTACGTAGTGGAGCTACACAGCTCTAAGTCAGAGGAAGACTTGCGGCCCTGGAAGTCACTTATTACTACAGAACTAACTTTTTTCAGTTTAAATAGTCCCTAGTTCTGAGAATTAGCCAACAAAGACTCGGAGAGTCTTCATGCTCGTGAATCTTCTAGTCCTGGTTTAAAGAAATCAACAACTACTCTAAGTATCGTACGCACAATGTGCTCTAAAGTACACACCACAGGCTGGCTCTGACCTGTAGCGATCTACTGACGGCAAACTAGACAAGTGTCAATCGAAGATCAAATGTAACAGTGTTGCACAAATGTTATGATTACCAAATACATTGGTGTGGTACACATGAAAAGAGATCAGTATTACAGAAAAGACGTACTTTTGTATCACATACGTTAAGCGATAGTACCGTACCCTATCGACTATGGTAAGAGGACATCTACCGTAACAGGGTCTTTGTAAAGGCGACTTAGTTTTGGTATTACACAAGAAAAAAAATACGACGTGGACGATTTGATCAGGTAGCATAGTTTCAAGATTAAAGAGGTAAGTAAGGTTTATTATCACTATAAATTAGTCAACTAATTTAGTTCTCCTTTTGATCAGTTTCAGACACGTGTCTTTGTAAAACGTCTCTGGTCGTAAAATTGAAGTGACTGGATTAAGGCTAAGTACTATCATGCATCAGTGTCACGTTATTCCCTGGAGTCGTAGTCCCCTGAACCAGGACTGGAAGCTTAAGAGCTCGTACATGCACTTAGAGTTTAGTCTTACCAAGTCTGTAAGACCTGATACCCCTTAAATAAATGTTCGTTTAGTTTGATTTACTAAAACCTTTACGAGTCTAGAAGTCTTCCTCTAACAAAGAAGTAAGGGTTGCTCCTCTACGTAAAAAGGGAATTAAGATTTAATATCTTAGTTCAAGCTGTAATAAACCTCATCCAACTACCTAATACCAAGATAAAACTAATTCGTTTAGAAATCTTTGGTAGAGTAAAGGTGGTAGATGGTATATCAATCTTAAAAAATATTTATAATTTTGATTCGTGTCTTATTTAAATAGAGAAAAATATCTGTTAATGTATGGCTGAGTGTTGTCAACTACATTAAAAATTACAGACGAAACTTTAGATTGTATATCATGTATGCCGAGGAATATCCTTTTAGCCGGTACCAGTCATGTGGCCCCGTCAACCCCCCCCCACCAGACTAAAGTGTATGAATTTTGATACATTACTTTATCAAGGCCATTGGCGAACAGTGATCCTCGCGGTTGTTCAACGCGTCAGACATGGCAAAGCGAATGGAGTCTTCAGCCTTTTTTACTTCCTCGGCATTAAAGAGGAGAAACTGGACTACAGCAGCTATGTCGAGGCCAAAGTCAGCACACCCGTGCGAGACGACATGTAGAGACAGGCACCTAAACATTTCCCCGAACGTAGGGCTGCAGATGCACTAACCGCGCTGCACACGACGCCCGTTGTAAGGTCGGAAATCATCACGAACCCACTTGATCAGAAGAATGGGCAAGTACTCGAACAACGGGGAAGTGCTCAGCGCAGATATCGTATCATGGCGACACTCGAAAGTCATACCGACTTTGTGTTTACGCCTCTCAGTTTGGAGGAGCTCCTCCAACAGACTTTCTGGTCAGTCTTTGTCATTGTCGACCATCGTTCCGGTAGCCAATACACTTAAGGAGGTTGAAGGAGGCAGGGTATTGCGTGAGAGTTAGCTGGTACCAACTAATTGACTCGAGGCCATTAAAAGACAATGCTTATGAAGATGAGTAATGGTGCGCCAGTCACACAAATCAGGGGTGTCCCCGTTTTTCCTTTTCTAAGGGAGATGCCCGATGAGGTAAAAAGGCGTTTGTTTTCTGTTTGCATAGAGCGCGACGCTTTAGTAGCTTCGATAAGGCCGACGTCCGTCCCGAACGGAAACTACATAATGACTAAGCCACGTTGAAGGCCAGGGGCCAGATTCGGGCGGTGTTCCGCCCGCGCTACACTCCGAATGTGGCGTAGCAGTGAATGCATATCAGGCTTTGGCTATGGAAGTGCCTGCTGATCCCGTTACTGGGGAGAGGCGTCCGAGGTCGCAAGTTGACCCCGACCATGGCGCTCAAAAACATCCACAGTATTTGAAACATCTTGCTGATGGAATATTTCATACTACCATGAATTCCCGAACTCAGGTTACCTGATCGAAGTCACCCGATAATTGTATCAATTGTGACGACGATGTCGTTGCAGTAAATTATTGAAATGAAACTGGAGGTCCCATCATTTTTTAAGCAACGCCGGCAGAGGTTGGTGTGTCTGCCGCGGACCATCAGGACCTGGTTCATGAAGTGAACAGTCTATGCGAGACTTTGTATCAACTCAGCGCACGCTTGACACTGTGCAAGCTCGCTTGTCGACATTTAAAAAGAGTCTGACACGGAAGAAGGTGCAACTTGACCTCGCGATTCGGATGCAGCTGTCTGCAAAAAGGCCAACTATCGCTGCAAAAGCGCCTCCCGATCAACATGAGATTAATCCTGGTACGGCTTAAGGAGGCCAACGTAACACTAAGTGTGTGCTCAATTCGCGTGGTCGGTTATGCATGTATGCAAGCCCTTGATTGCATAGCGCGTGAAATAGTTTTGTGAAACGAGGACGCAGCGTCGTCGAAAAAACATCAGAGACTGCACTTGTTGGTAGGTTTTTAGCGTTTAGTATAGACTCGGTCATCAATATCATAGCTTAAAAAAGACTCTGCCTTTAGCATTCACTTAATTCTTCTGTTTGTATTGGCCATTAGATATTGCGACACGCACATGGAGTGAGGCCCTTTATCATATTGTCGGAACGCGTTAACCTGTCATTTAGCAGTAGCAGGCCTAAATTTAGCAAGCCGATCGGCCACATCTCCCCCACCAAGGCCTAAGCCAAGTGATTTTAGCGCTAAAGGAAATCTGAGGGGGTGTAAAGACAATCATGTAGAACGGAGTACAGCCGGTCGAAGTATTGACAGTGTTGCTCATGGCGAGCTCATCGATGGGGAGCATCGAAAACCAGTGCCGAGGCGTCTTAGCGCATGCGCTGCTTAAGA